AAACGTATTGATACTTGTTCCGTCATACTGCAGTGTTTCACCTACCGTTAATGAGCAAGGTGGGATGTGTGTGTGTGTGGAGGGGGGGGGGGTCCTCCAACCCCCGAGCTGTTGTCTTTAAGTGATGTAGTTGAAAAGCCCTGATCTAAATTTAATATTTGTTGCCCACAGCCAATAGGAAATTAATTTTTTTGTCTATAACTCACACGTCATGTGTCTGTTAGCACAATTTCTCATGCACCACTGGACAAACTTTGTTGAAACTTGCTGAGCATTGAGTGTATATTTACAACTGATTCAATATGGCTGAACTGAATAGAAATAGCTTTTATTGTCTATAGCAGTGATACTACTACTACTAATAAAAATAAAATATAAAGGATTGTGCAAGAATAAAAAAAGATGTTTTGTTTTAGCTGCCACAGCTAACTCACCTTAAATAACTCAAAAATTGGGTGTAATTCTTAATCTTACAGTTAAAATTTAAAGTGGTAGAACCTATCCCAAACACATATTATAGGAACCATCTTCATTTAAAATGGTGCCGTTAACGATGATGAGTCAACGCTGTTTGTCTGTAAGCAAAATACCTTGTGGGCTACTGGCTGTTCATCTGTAGCTGCTTACCTTTAGGAGCCAACCCAATTCAAGATGGCTGCCACAGCCAATTAACTTATAAAACATGAATTTGAATAAAACAAGTAAAATGYAGAAAAAAATGCTTTGATTAGAATTCAAAATTATTATTGTACTATGTAAAACCACACACTCTCAATTGAGAGGTTGACATTTTATTTTCTTTTTTTTTTTGCATTTGTTTTTAACTGAAATAATTATTCAATTAGGTTTTGCTTTTTCAGCTGATTAAAAAAAATATGAAACTTTTGCTTCCAAATATCCTTCTTTAGCATCAACACCTACAGTCATTTCCCACAATGCAACTGAACCACCCTGCTTGGATTTTGGTTTCTTTTTCCTCCACTTTAATCTTAGGCTTCAACTACTGCAGGCAAAATTAAATTAAATTAAATTAAATTAAATTAAATTAAATTAACAAAATAAAATTAATAAAATTAATAAAATAAATTAAATAAAATGATTTTCTTACCTGATTTGCGTTTTCCAGAGCCGCCGCAGTCTCTGGAAAAGAAACAACACCAGAGCAGCATGGTCAGTTCGGGGGAACATTAAAGTGTCTCGGTCAGTCTGTGAAGTGATCTGAGCTGAATCTGAGCGAAGGCCATCCGGACACAGTTGGCACACGACTACCAGACGAACCCTGGTTGAGAATGCACGAAGAACTTGACCCACGTCCAAAGGGAGGGAGTGCGGGTGGGACAACATACTGATGAGTCCCACAGAAAGCATGTCAAGAGTAGTAACGAAGCGGAGCATCAGCCAATATGCTGCCATATTTGTAACGTGTTTCCGTTCAAACTTTAAACAGGAGGAAGTTGCAGCTGCTTCGGTTTAAAAGAAGGCTGCTTATTTGCTCGACAACAGTATGAGAAGTCCTGTTTATGTTTAAATGTGAAAGGCGTCTGTCTGAAGCCCAGACTGAAGCAAAACACTTGAAAAGAGATCATTAACGTCAAAGAACTCGCCGTGTGCTTTGACCCATGTAGTCACAGAGGCTTACAATAAGTTACTTTACTGTCACCATGTTCATATTTACTTTTCACCTCAGCATCGTAAAAGGCTGTGATGTTCAACAACCAAAACTGAGTACTTAAGTTCTTTTTCTTTTTTTTCTTTTTGAAAAACTGTCACAACTTTAAAGAAAGCGTTTTATTGGTCTCTAAACTATCGTTTAGTTTTTAGCTGACAGAACTCAGTGAACAAAAACAATGAAAGCACAAAATGTGTGTGTGTGTGTGTGTGTGTGTGTGTGTGTGTGTGTGTGTGTGTGTG